ACACACACACACACACACACACACACACACACACACACACACACCCCGCTCTCCCCCCACTGTACACACATTCATTGTGCAGCTCCTCCCAGGACCCAAAACCTTCGGTCATTCTGTCTGCACAGCCCCTAGCGGCCCCCTCTCCCTGCCCCCCCTCTGACACCAGTTCACCAGCCACCCAGGTCCCACACTGCCTGGCGGGGCCCACAGGGCGTGCTGCGCAAACAGCCACCTGCCAGGGGTCCACCACCAGTGGCCCCAGGTGCATGTCCCGGGGGCAGGATGGGGACAGCAGGGCTGGGTGTGTGTGGGGACCACAGTGCTAGAGGTCCACTGACACGCCCCCCCGACACCCCTCCCACCCGACCAGCCTGTTACCAAGACAAAGAAGCTGGTGACCAGCATCTGGCATTTGGCCGCCCTGACCCGGCTCCAGGGCCCCATGGTGGCCAGCTCTTCTCCCTTCTCCTCTGCTCTCTTCTCCCCTCCGCTCCCCGCCCTTCCCCACCCACTGTGGTTTCCAGCTGGGTGGGGGCCTCAGACCACAGCTGCCTGCCCAGGAGGTAGGCTGCCCTCTATTTGTCAACACACCCAGAGAACTGAGCCTCTGTCTGCTCCCAAAGACACGGAAGACGGGCAGGAAGGCAGGGAAGGGGCAGCAAGGTCAGTTCCTGCCACCCCTGCTGTCCCCAGCCCTGGCCCAAGGCACCAGGACCTCTGAGGGTATGAGCCCTCTCCCCAAAGGGTGCGGCCTTGTTCTTGGTCTGCCACAGACCACATCCTGGGAGGAGGTGGGAGGAGGTGGTGAGTAGAGGTGAAGGTGCCCGGGTAGGGGGTGAGCTTCTTGTCCTGGGAGTATGCAAGCAGAATCCTGCCCAAGGCTTGATCCTTGGAGGAGTTTGGGAGACAGGATCGAATCCGAGCATCACTGTTGGAGCATCATCTTAGGAAACACCATCCGAAATATTCTGTGACGACAACATTTTGGAAAGGTAATTTGGAGCAGAGCTGTCTGGAGGGCGCCAGGGCGGGCTGGAGCCCTGGTGCCCACGTGCCCAGGTGGGCCTCCAAGGGAGGCTGTGTCAAAGCACGAGTCTGTCATTAAACTAAACCTTGCAAACCTGAGCACGGGGCAGGCTGTAGACTCGGATGTGCGTGGGGCCGTATCCCTTGGAGGAGACACGTGGTGAAGCCACTGTCTGGGTCCAGTTTGGGCCATTTAGGACCGCTCAGCCACTGCTGTGGTCCTTGGGGTGGCAGGGCTGATGGGGGCCACTGGTGGATGGCTCACCTGTGGGCTACAATCGCTCCCCTTCTGTCCCCTTCTGTGCCTCTCATGTGGGGACCTCCTGGACATGGGGACCTCAGCAGGGGAGGGGGAGTGCCCCCAGATAGCTGCAGGTGAGGCAACCCCTTGGCCTTCTAGGAACCAGCAGCCAAGCGCCAGGGCAGCCGGGACCCCTTGTCCAACCCGGTGCCTTCAGGCCGCCCACCCTGGTCCCAGGAGCCCCCACCCTGGGTCTGCAGGGGCACGAGGGCGTCTCCGACGGCAAGTGCCTATGGACCGCTCCAGGTGGGGCCCAGGTGTGACCCAAGGGGCAGCAAGAGTGAAAGTGGGGGACCCCGGATATGTCAGGGCGTGGGTCATGCGGGCTGGCCAGCCTGACCCTCTGTCCGTGGAGATGAGCCTCTCATCAGGGTCTGCCACACGCGGCTGTCGCTTTTCTCCAACTTTGGTGAGAAAGACAGTGCCTGGCGGCCTGTTGGGACGCAATGAGGTGATCCTGCCCACTGCCAGCCCCCTGGGCGCCTCCGCACTGAGTTTGGAGAGACCCTTGCAGAGCCGGAGCCGAGCCAGGCTTGGGTTCTTGCGCTGCCCCCGCCGAGCATGCACCGTGCACTGTGCATGGGTGGCCTTGCGTGTCTTCCCAGAGCGGCGCCGCAGCCCTCGTGGGCAGGAGACAAAGCTCAGCCCCTCTAAAGACCGGGCCTCTGACCACAGCCCCCTTTCCACGTACGTATGTTTACCCCGGTGAACCCCCACCCCCTCAGCTGAACCACAGCCTCCCGTTCCAGCACCCCGCCCCCGCCCCCCGGGAGAGGAAGCCGCATCTGCGGGGAAAGTCGCTGGCTCTGCCTGGCTACCTGGCCTTCAGCCACGTGCCCATCTTATCTGGGCACCTGGGCTGGCCACCCGCTCCTGAGGGCTGCGCTGACCCGTCGGAGCCACGGGGGGACCTAAAGTAGCAGGCCCATCCCCGAGGGGCTGGCTCAGGGGGACACGCCCCTGCCTGACCCCTTGGACCTGGGGGTCAGGCCCCACCACGAGCCAGCCTGGGCTGCCTCCCGTTTTCTTTTCCACGGAAGATGCTGAGCTTCCAGGTGCCCGAGGGCATATGTGTGGGTATGCTTGCACGCGTGGGCACACGTGTGTAATATGTTATTTGCTGGCCAGCGAACTCCTTTCTCCTTCCTCTCCCCGACCTCATCTAATAAAGGATTGGTTCACTGGAATCTGTCACAGGAGCTCACTGAGACTGCTCCCAGTGGCCACGGCAGGGACCACAGAGAGCCCGCTTGGCGACGCGGTGCAGGACAGTAGCCCACCTTATCCCACAGACACCCGGGGGCCCACGCTGGGCATGTAGCCGATGGAGTAGAGGAAAGGGTGGCGGAGCCAGGACACCTGCCGGCCGGGAGAATCCCCGACACTGTGCACGGATGCGCCTCCATTGGGGGGAGCCCAGCCCCCGCCCCACGGGTGTGACTCTCATAGTGACTTCCTTCCTGAGACCGTGGGATAGAAGGCTGCACCTGATGCGCACCCCGCCAGGTGAGCAAGGCCAGCGTCACGGGGACGAGTCAGGTGGGGAGCACGGACCCGGATGCGATGGGGTGGGAGGGCGCTTCACCCTGGGGTCCTCCTCCCAAACCCACAGCCCAGTCTGACCATGATGCACACACACCAGACAAACCTCAACTGAGGGGCGTCCTACGGCATGCCTGACCTGTCCCCCTCGGAACTGTCCGGGTCATCACAAGCTGTCACAGACATGAGGACTCAATGTCCCGGGGTGCCCTGGGTGGGAACGAACCTGGGACAGAAACAGGCTATTAGGGAAAAACTGAGACACTCGGAATAGAGTGCAGACTTCAGTGGACAGTAATGGTTCAATAATAGCCATTGATTCATTGTGACGTGTCCCATACCCATGTCAGATGTTGGTATGAGGTGAAGCTGGGCGTAGGGTACATGTGAACTCCCTGTATACCTTTGCAACATTTCTGTAAATCTAAAACTGTCCTACAATATATTTTATTTAAAAACATGGTTTTGGGGCGCCTGGGTGGCTCAGTTGGTTAAGCGACTGCCTTCGGCTCAGGTCATGATCCTGGAGTCCCGGGATCGAGTCCTATGCCGGGCTCCCTGCTCAGCAGGGAGTCTGCTGCTCCCTCTGACTCTCCTCCCTCTCATGCTCCCTCTCGCAAATAAATAAAATCTTAAAAACAAAAACAAAAACAACAAAAAAACATGGTTTTGTCCAGCATCCCAGGCTCACAGCACAGAGTGGAGTGGGCACGTAGGAGCTGGCTCTGCCTGTCCACCATTCAGGGATGTCAAGTACCGGCCTGCCCACCTGCCCGCCTGCCCACCTGCCCACCTGTTCACCTGCCTGCCTGCCCACCTATTCACCTACCCACCTGCTTGCCTGCCTGCCTGCGACCCGCCCACCTGCCCGCCTGTTCACCTGCCTGCCTGCCCGCCTGCTCACTGGCTCACCTGCCTGCCTGCCCGTCTGTTCACCTGCCCACCTGCTTGCCTGCCTGCCTGCCCGCCTGCCTGCTGCCTCACCTACCCACCCACCCACTTTCTCCTTCCCCCACCCACCGGCCCTTCATTCACTTGCTCCCTCTTCTACCCTTTCATTTTGTTAATTCCTGCAGCTCTTCACTTGCGCACTCTCCTGCCTGATCGCTGCTTGCTGCCTTAGTTTACCTAGGAATCTGGGTAGGGGGACTTTGGCGCCGAAGCAGATCCTTGCCATTTGGAGGTCGCTCTGCCTGAGCCAGGAGGTGGCAGCCTCTCTCCTCCTTCCTGACAGCCGCCAGACGGAGCTCTGTGAGAGGTGCCCCCCACCCCACTCCGTCAGAGATAAGCAGAGGCCTGGGAGGGCAGCAGGGCCGCCTTCCCCACCCAGGGAGAAGAGTAGGTTAGCACCTCAGTGCACCCGGGGCCCCCGTGAGCTCATCAACTCCCTACAGCCCTGAGTGTGGGGCTCTGCCGTGAGCCCTATTGGAGCCACAAGGGGACCCGAACAGCCTCTGGCCTTCTCTCTGAGTCTGAAATTTTCCCCAGCAGCCCAGACATGTCCCCACCTGGGGCAGCTTCTCCTGAGCCCGGGGCGGGGCCGGAGGCTCTCCGTCCTGATTGGCCTACGTCTGGGTCAGCTGTGTGCACCCTGTCAGACCCACAGAGCCCAAGGAGCCCCATTTCCTTTAGAAGTGACCCCCTCCCGGGTTTGCAGGGCACACCCTGGCCCGGACACTCCCCGGGCTCAGGGTCCTGGGCACGGCTCCTTCTCCCCCGAGACGCTGGGACAGAGCTTGTCCTGCCCATGAAGGGGTGGGGTGGGGCCCGGGGAGGGGTCAAGGGCCTCCATCTGCCTCACAAGTGCCGGGGACAAACTTTGGAGGGGGCCTCCATCCTGCTGAGCAGCCCCATCGGGAGGGGGTGCCTGGGCACCGTGGAGTCCCTGCCCTGCCCAGGTCACCCGCCACCTGGCTGAGACTTGGTGTCCAAGTGTCCTGGTGAAGGAGCAGACAAGGGTCTGGAGGCCCCCAGGGTGTGGGAGCAGGATGTCCAAACCTCCCAGGGCTTCCCTGGGTCGGCGGGCAGGGGTGGGGCAGGCAGGAGCCAGCAGCCCCCACCCTGGGCCCAGGCCTCACCGAGGAGTGTGGACTGGACCCTCTCCCCACCGGTGCTCCCCCCCAGCCCCCGCTTCGTGGCAAACATTTCCAGCCCACTCCTGGCATTTTCTTTAACCTGTGGTAAGAGAATGGCCAAGCACCCATTGCCTCCTGTAATCTTCATGGCTCTGGGGCACCATGGACACGCCCTCCGGGGGCCCAGGGAGCACCCCATCCGTGGCCCGGCCCCACTCAGGCTGCAGACCCCACATGCCGGGGAGTCCCGGGGACCCGCCGCTCTGTCTCCCGGAGGCAGGGGCACAGGGTCGGGGTAGAGCTGACAGCTGAATGAGGGGTCGGATGAGACGAAGCTTTTATTTGGGTGGTGGGCTCAGTGCCAGCACCCTACAGACTGGACGCTGCACCCCCAGATTCAGTGCCCTGGCCCTGCCCCCAGGTGGTGGTGGAAGGGGGGGCCTCTGGGTGGGGGTTACATGAGGGCATGAGGCTGGGGTCGGCGACGGCCCTGCGAAGACACAGCGGGAAGGTGCTGTCTGCAGACCAGGAAGGGGGGTCTCCCCAGGAACCGCAGGGGGG